CCCTAGAGGACGCAGTTCGAAGTTCCCATGAAAGGGAACCTACATATCAATCACTTTATTGTAGATATCACAAGAAAAGAAGAACTTCAAAGGCGTTTGACTAAATGTGCTAGCAGCAACAAAAGACATTTTGGGTTGGGTTCTTGAAGATTGTTCTCTTAGTCCTTGATCTACTGGGGACACGGTATGTCTATTATAAATATGGTCTGATCTAAACTCAAGAGAATGTGAAGAAAGATGCTTTGTAGAAGCAGCTTACATAAATGGTCAATTTCCACAGAATGCACTTTGAATGTCAATAAGACACAAAGGAGGGGGTTCTGACTGGTCCAACGTTCACAGTCTGGTGTGTTCTTTCAGCTGACAGATTGCAGTTGGAGATTTGAAAAGAGCGACTGTCATTAAAATCCATGCCAACTCAATCCATTTAAGGGATGACTGAAGTAGAATTTAAATCAACAGCCGAGCCAAAGCTCTATGTGTGGACAGAATACATTCCTCTCTAGCTCTTTGTTTGCAGCCATTTGGGAATTAAACCCATTGTGCAAACACTGTCCCAAACAGCATACTGACAGTGTTTACCTCAAAGAAAATTCCAGAAAAAAACATTATATTGGCAGAGCAAACTATTCCACTAGATACTGATCGAATCTGTTGTACGCTCTCTGTGAAGTGATACCACTGTATATGTTTCTAATGAGTGGAAATTGTGACTCATGTACATACTAACCGAGTGTAGATTCCGTTCTTACGATAGAAGGAATTTTTGACTGAGAGTCGACGGTTGTTGAGCTCCAGGGCAGGGAAGCGTCCTTCATCCAGCCGTACCATCTCTCCATGGGAGAGGGGCAGAGATGTGCAATTCGAGTGGGCACCTAAAGACAGAGATCAGAGGACAACCTATGATGATATATCAATCCATCCATCCATTCAACCAATTATATATTAATCCAAATGAATAGATGCTTATCTAAGTACACAGAAATGTACTTCACTTTGCTGTTGACATCAAAATATGTTGTGCATCTAATCTAACTTTGTGGTATTTTCATGCAAATTCATCTCTTACTAGGCCTACCAGCCCAGATCTTCCAGAGAGGTGAGGAGAGCAGTGACCTCGACGCCTAAATGGACAGTGTGATCTCCCACCTTGCAGAACTTCTGGCCTCACTGGAGTTCAGTAAAACAAACCGGCACCAATAGATCAGGACCGAACAGGGTCAGGCGGGTGGGGTGTCTCTTGAGAGAAGCCCTTTGTGTTCTACACAAACACTTCCCTTGTGCTATGCACATCCACAACCGTTTACTGACCCTGGCCCTGGCACAGCACTAAACGCTGACCAAGCTCAGAAGCAGCCATGTGAGAATCCCTCCCACACACAGATCAGCCTACAACCTGACCTCCCCAGACCTCTAAGTAGAAAGTTGCAACATGCATGGAGCCCACAGTCCATATTGGACACAACAACTAAGTAGGGCTGGGTGATATGGCCAAAAAAATTATCAGGATAAATTTGGTCTTTTAAGT